GCAGCCACCAACCCACTAAGCTGACAGGAGAGGACAGTGTGAGTACTCTTACAACCTCTGGGTCAGATAAGGGGAGAGGGTGGTCAGGTGCATTAACAAACTAGCTTCTCCTCTGGGATTGTTCAATCGGCAGTCTTGCTCAGGAATATCCTTAGATAGCTGGGTGAAGAGAAGGAATCAACCAAGGTCTGAGGAGGTACACCTAAGAGCCTTTAGTGCTCTTCAAGAAAAGACTGTTGCTAATCCAAATCTCTGTACATAGTTGCTAAGGAGTTATCCTCAAGTCCTAGAGTTCCTTGAGCATCCCATATACTCTATCCAAGTTTAACCCCTAAATAAAAACAACAAAACCAAGCTCAAGGCCTGGCAATTGACTCCAGTGTATATTTTTCAGTTTCTTTTGCCATGTTAAATGTTATTAGGTCGATTTGCAGTTTGTATTTGAGGCTGATGGATTAAAACTAAAACAAGGTAAGTGGAGCTGTTGCTCATAACAATCAGTATGACTTCAAGGCTTCATCTTTCAGTGGAAAAAGTTATTCTACAATAGGTAATGAGCCCCAGCTGCTCATTTTCTCATTAATCTGCTTCTTGTCACAATGTTGGTGGCTTTCTTGTGAATGTAAAGGCAATGTCAAGTAGCAGTATCATGACCTGCGATGGATGAGATACTCAAGTCAATCATCAGATATCAGTCATTTTTTTGCTGTGAGCAAATGGGAAAAAATCAGCACAAAATGAAAGATGAAGTTCCCAGGAAAATGCTTTGGCTAAACTTAGACTTCTGTTTGCAACCTTAAAAGGAAGCTGAAGTCTTCAAACACATAACGCAGGACTGTTCATAATCCTCAAACCCTGGAGTTTGTCTAATGCATAACCAAATGTCTGAATGCAGGCTTATCATACCATAGTTACTTTATGCAGAAGGACCATACACACACCTCATCATTTCCACAACACTATTCCTCTCTGCTCATCAGTTACCCAAAGTCACTTTATATGTTGTGCATATATTTAGTCTTTATTACAACAAATATATATGTAATTTGTTGACAACAGAATGTATACCCTGTATACTAATAATAACTATAAGGCTTATGTGCATACAAATTTCTGTACATACCACCCAGAAAACAAGGAAATTCCCTCTGGTTTGTTTTATATAAAAACGCATCATGAAAAAGATGTCAGTGTGCATACTGACCTAAGTCAGTGGATATAGAAATTATTATATTATTATTATTATACAGTATTTATAAAGCGCCAATAGTTCGCTCAGCGCTGTACATTACAGAGGGGGAGCGAACATGTGACAGAACAATACCAATACAATGCAAAACATGAGGGGATTGAGGGCCCTGCTCTTTCGAGCTTACAATCTAGGAGGGAGGGGATGGTGGCACAGGAGGAGATAGCTGTGGGGGATGGAGTGGTAGGAAGAGTGGAGGAGGTCGGCAAGTTAGCAGGGGGTGGGCTAGCTTCCCTGAAGAGATGGGTTTTCAGGGTGCGCCTAAAGGAGAGGAGAGTAGGTGATAATCTGATGGGTTGGGGCAGGGAGTTCCAGAGGATGGGTGACACCCTGGAGAAGTCCTGGAGGCGGGCATGGGAGGAGGAGACCAGGGAACTAGAGAGAAGGAGGTCTTGTGAGGAGCGGAGTGTGCGTGCTGGGTGGTACTTGGATATTAGGTCAGTTATGTAGTTCGGGGCAGTATGGTGGACAGCTTTGTACGTCAGTGTTAGGATTTTGAATTTGATCCGTTGCACAATCGGAAGCCAGTGGAGGGATTGGCAGAGGGGGGAAAGGTGAATGAGTCTGGCTGCCGTATTCAGGATCGACTGAAGCGGGGATAGCCAGCGGCGAGGCAGGCCAGTGAGGAGGGAGTTGCAGTAGTCGAGTCGTGATATGATGAGGGAGTGGATGAGCTGTTTAGTGGTTCCTGGAGTTAGGAACGTGCGGATTTTGGCGATGTTGCGGAGGTGGAGTCTGCATGAGTTTGTTAAAGATTGGACTTGGGGCTGGAAGGATAGGTTGGAGTCCAGAATGACACCAAGTACTCTGGCCTGCGGGGCGGGTTTGATGGTAGCGTTATTCGTTGTGATAGAGAAGTCAATGGGGGGTGGTGTCCGGGCTGGGGGGAAGACAAGAAACTCGGTTTTGGAGAGGTTCAGTTTAAGGAAGTGGAGCAACATCCAGTCTGATATGTCGCTCAGCAGGTGTGTGATTCGGGCGGAGACCGAGGGGGTGAGGTGGGGGGTTGAGAGATAGATTTGTGTGTCGTCGGCATAGAGGTGGTAGTTGAAGCCGTAGAAATAAAGCATAAAATAGATATTTAAAGTATAACTGAATGCAAAATTTTCTTTTTACATTTTGGAGAGAGTGGAGAGGGATTCGAACCCCCGTTAGTCTTTATTGCTGTCTATGTGCACATTAGGGAGATTCACCCTCTCTATTTGTCCTATTTACCATTATCATCAAAGTGAAAGTAAAAGAAAATCTAAAATTTTGAGTTGCCCCCAGAAAAGTAGTAGAAATACACTAGTTCTGGTGACCTAGGGGTCCCCAAGGAATTCCCTTAATTTGCAGGGATTTCCTCTCACTTCCTGGTTGGCTATGGGACAGGAAGTGAAGGGAAATCTCTACAATGGGACACAGATGGCGAAAAAAAAAATCTGACAGGGGTTATAACCCTCCCTTGCTCTATCCAAAATGAAAAACGTTTTGTCTATAGATCTACTTTAAACATCTGGGCTGTAGTTGCACAACTGTCGATACTGTACACAAGCATATCTTTATAACACTGATTATACTTGCTCCTTTATTTTTCTCTGTGTGGTTATCTATGAGCTCCTGACTAATTGTCAGGTGAAGATGAGACTAGATTGCATTTCCTTTGAGCACCTCTGCAGTCTGACAGCCCACATACCAGGACCCTTCTTCCTTAGCCCTTACCTCACCTTCTTCATGTACGCTTTATTCTAATCTCATTATTTTCTCTTGGACACGTCATTAATCTGGCCATATACGGGCATAATTTATCTGATGTAATAAATGATCCAACAGCTTGCCCGATGTCATTATGAATGCTGGGTTGACAGCACAAACCTCAATTCTGGTCATTCTTCTCTTAAGAGCACTAGTGATGAGTTTATTATTACACAAACACACTATGGTGAATTCATAAAAGGTGTCATAAACACCCTTTAGAATTCCATGGAAAGTGACAGTGCTTGTACCCGATTCATGTACGACTCACACTACTTTCTCAGTGCGCTTGTGTGTTCCTGAGAGACTAGTTCCCCATCAGGTCTGCTTTAAGTTTGATTGACAGTAGATGGCAGTGGGTGGATCCATAGCCACTGTTCAGTCAACTAGCACCTTTGGAATCCACCTGCGGCCGTGCGCTGTCAAACACAGTCAAGGCGGACTAGATGGGGAACTAGTCTCAGAGTTGCCCATCAGGCTTTTTATGAATTAAGTACAAGCCATGTTAAAGGGGCCATACCGCCAGAAAAGTGACGCTACTGCTTTATTGAATTCCCAGACTGTTGCTTGTTTGTTAACGCTATCACTACCGCTATTACTCAGATTGTACTGCCAGTGAAAATCCATAATGTATCAGTAATGTGAGTTATCACATTAATTTACCTACCTTCAAATGAATAATGGATGACTGCAATGTATCCAACATCTCCCAATGTAGTGAATCTGTTAGCCCACCATATACCCCACACAGGGCTTTTTGTGGGTTTACTGGAATCACCATTTTCAATGACTTTGATATACCCTGCCTGTGTGGCATCATACCTTGCATGTATCTAAAGCCAATTGTTTTCATCTTGGATAGTGCAAAGAAGAGATAGATCCTCTAACTGGATATGTGTTCATTGGTGTAGTTGGTGGGTTTAGTTGTCAGCTCCCTATCAATGCAGAGGCTTTAAAGGTATTCGTTGTAGAAATCTACAAAAATAAGGAATGACAGAAGTACCAACCCACTAGAAAATGCACAGAATGGTCTACATTAGACATAGCAGTCAACAAAGGAAAGCCAATTTGTTTTGAGGACTACAAAGATCCCCCTTTATCAGGGGTAGTATGTGATAGTTCTAAAGTCTGAAGTGCTTCAAGTGATACTACTGATGGGAAATGGAGTGCTAGCGTAACAGATTGAATAGAGGCAGTGGAAAAGAAGACCTATGGTATTCAGTATAGGAACCAGGTTTTTTCCTTTGTTTTTGTTATGTCTTGAATAAGTAACGAGTTAAAAAACAGGTTTTCCCTACTGAATAAAAAAATTCTCTATTTCCCGTCTAATAGCAGACAAAGCAGTTCAGAACTACCACTTCTAAGACCCTTCTTATCTTTGAAGATTTTTAATGTCGTCTCTCTTTTCTTGCCTCAGAATTGTATTCTCTATATGTCCTGGTGCCGGGTGGGGTAAACTCAAAAATGTTGATTTGTCACTGTGAGAAGAAGAGATGGGAAATCTTACAATGGGAACACTTGTTTTGATGGCAACGATCTTTCCCTACTTTAGAGAGATTTCCTATCACTCCCTGCTGTGCCTCGAGACAAGAATATTTTTCCCAATGGGATACAGACAGCAGAGAAAACCTTGATGGGGGTTTTAACAATTCTTTACCCAAAATTAAAACAATTTTGGTTTCAGAATTACTTCAGTGTTGTTTTGACAATGATTGTAATAGGAAGTGTGTGTCCTTCCTTTTTAATAGGGACTTTTTGCTTTTTTTTAGCGAATATTTAGAAATGTTTATAGACCAATTTGTCTTTATTAGACCTGAGAGAATTCTGTACAGGTCCGGATAAACCTTCCAGCATGCCTTCTGATTCCGAGAAATGCCACTGTTTATAGTTAGACTGAAGAAGTATTTTTCCTTGATAAGATGGCTGTAGGTCAAAGAAGTGAATGTTATCACAGAAATTAAATCTAATCAAGTATTGTGCATTTGTATGACATGTTATTATATTATTCTTTTTCTAGCACATGCACTAATGATGGTAACTGGCACTGTGAGCAGAATGCATGCCTTATCAACCCAAGAATTATTGAGGCTGTTAATCGAGGCTCATATGGGTAAGAGAGCTCAAACATGCTACATGCTCCCTATTTGTGTACAATAATTCTGATTTATTGTTGGGCACCAAAAATCTTTTAAAATAAACACAGTACCTTATTTCATTTGCTGTAGATGGAATGCTGGGAACTACAGTCAGTTTTGGGGTATGACACTAAATGAAGGTATCCAGTATCGATTAGGAACCACAAAGCCTTCCTCTTCAGTGATGAACATGAATGAGTTGCACGTATGTATACTGCTTTTAATTTTTCTTCTGAATAATTATAAAATCAGGACACTAGCGATTTCATGTCAAGTCTTTGTGGCCTGGTGCACAAACAAGATTTCTGTATATTTTTAAACAAATTTTAGTATCAGTATTTCCATCTGGTCCTTCTATTTTTTGCACACTAATTTTGAGAAATGATATAATTGACAGTATATGATAATGTACATATTGTTGAATAGCACAGCTAAACTATCTGACACTGCTGTCCAATTTGATCTCCTTTTTATTTAATTATTGTCAACGTTGTAGAAACATATGGGGGGAGGGGCTCGATAAAGCACTCTTTTTTAGGGGTACGGCCATTTTATACAGTCCTGTGCTGAATTCATAAAAATCTTGTAACCGTTTTCTTAGGAGTTCTGACACGTGCAACAGATTAAGGTAGCTCTCAAACTCACAATGTGTTGCTATGTCTGCAACTAGTTCAAAAAGAATTACCGCACATTTGTAGATAATAAAATTTGAGGTACTTAAGGCCAATTCTAGCTAGTGGCTGTGGAATCTGCCCATTGCCAACCGCTGTCAACCAGAAGGAAGGGGAGACCTGATGGGGAACTAGACATCCCCATCAAGCTCTGTACAGTTACTGCAAATCTCCTCAGCAGCTGCACCTATTACTGAGCTGCACTGAGGACAAAGTGTCTGGTGTGGCCCTAGTGCTGGCTTCCATGCATCAAATTCATGTGCTTTTTTCCAATAGTGTATATAGTTACATAGTTAGTCTGGCTGAAAAAAGACAAATGTCCATCTAGTTCAACCATTAAAAAAAAAAAAGTTATAATCTTATACCTACAGTTGATCCAGAGGAAGGCAAAAAACCCAGCAAAGCATGATCCAATTCGCTCCTGCAGGGGAAAAAAATCCTTCCTGATCCCCCGAGAAGCAACCAGATATTCCATGGATCAACTTATAAATAGTAACCAGTTATATTCTGTGTATCCAAGAAATAATCCAAGCCTTTTTTAAAGCAATCTACTGAGCTGGCCAGAACCAACTCTTGAGGGAGTCTATTTCACATTTTCACAGCTCTTGCTGTGAAGAAACCTTTCTGTGTTTGGAGGTTAAATCTCTTTTCCGCCAGACGTAAAGAGTGCCCCCTTGTCCTCTGTGATGACCTCAGGGTGAATAACTCTACACCGAGTTCACTATATGAACCACTGATGTATTTATATATATTGATCATATCCCCATTAATCTCCTCTTCTCAAGAGAGAATAAATTAATTTCCTCTAATCTTTTCTCATAGCTGAGCTCTTCCATGTCTCTTATCAGTTTGGTTGCACTTCTCTGTACTTTCTCCAGTTCCCCAATGTTCTTTTTGTGAATTGGTGCCAAAAATTGACCTGCATATTCCAGATGAGGTCTTACTAATGATTTGTACAGGGGCAATATGATATCTCTCTCTCTGGAGTCTATACCTCTTTTAATGCAAGGGAGGATTTTTCTCACTTTAGAAACCGCAGCTTGGCATTGCATGCCATTATTAAGCTTGTGATCTACCAGAACTCCCAGATCCTTCTCCACCATTGATTCCCCCAGTTGTACCCCCCTAGTATGTATGATGCATGCATATTCTTAGCCCCCAAGTGCATATCTTTATATTTATCAACATTAAACCTCTCATTTGCCACAGTGTACATGAATCAGTCACTAGCACAGACAGTTTATGTGTGGAGGCACAACCGGATTCTAAGGCCCCTTTCATACGGGTCGGATCCATTTTGCTCAGCAGAGGATCTGTCTGATTTTGCCCCTGCTGAGCTGAGTGGAACAGCCAGGTGACTCTGCTTATGTAGAGCGGACACAGACAATAGCCTGCTTTGCTCTATGGGCCACCAGATGTAAATGGACCAGCTGTCCGTTTACTCCTCACTGCCCTCCAGTCTGATCTAGCCAGACAGAGGGGAATGGATCCCCTGTGCATTTGTTTTTTGCCAGATTGGAGGTAGCTGGGTGTAAACGGACACCAATCTGTTTACATCCGACTGCCCATATAGTTGAACGAAGGGTCTGGTCAGGTCTACTAGAAAAATGGACAGGCAAACCTGACCAGACTACTCGTGTGAAAGGGGCCTAAGAAAATGTATAATACTCTCTATGAATTCCAGGAATAATGTCCTTTGGAGAGGTAATGCTGCTTGGAGTAAACAGTGCATATTCTCTCCTAGATTGTAAGCTCCGAGGAGCAGGGCCCTCCTATCCCTTTTGTATTGAACTGTATTGTTGCTGTATTGTCTCCCATTATATTGTATAGCGCTGAGCAAACTGTTGGCGCTATATAAATCCTGTATAATAATAATATGAAGAAAGAGATAAAGCAGTGGCTTAGTGCTAGGGAAACACAAAGATAACTCTGTCTGTTGCATGTGGAGAAGGGTAATAGGTTTGCGTAGCCATGTCCACTTTAGGAAGCGTGAGTGGAATGTATTGCTGTCATGTCACAAAGGGTTAGTATGTTAACATGCCAGTGGAATGCAGAGATTCTCCCTCCTGCAGTCATAGTTCTTTCCTGAGGTTAGGGTCGGTGTGTGATTTTTGGCAGGCCCCAACAGGGAAGCACAATGCAAATGTGATTAAGCCAGCTTTTTCAGGCAACTTCCACTCAGGAAGTACCACTCCACTCGGAATAAAGAAAGTAGAAAGAGAAAAATCATTGCAGGCTACTGTTGAGCGAACACCCGTCTTTATATCATCCTGCCAATAAAGGAAAGAAAAGGAGGGGTCTATCCACAGACAAGAAAATTGAAAATTCCTTGTGATGGGACAAGGGAGTTCAGTCAGGACCCAAAGGATTAGACCCCATAATGTTTCAGACAGCCTGCCTATTTAGGAATTCCTTGACTTGTACAGCATGTACGTCACTATTAAATACTTGACATTTTTTTAAAGATCTGAGTAAATATGTTTCTGTTTTTAGGCTAAAAATGAAAATGACATATTGGAAGGGGAGGGGGATATACAAAATAAGCAGTGTTACCTAGAGCTCATAAAGGAACATTTCTTAGTGAGATCCATGTCCTTCTAGAGCAATACACAACACAGCAGGGTTGTAAATGATTTCATAACAATCAGACAGACAGACCTTATGCTAATGATTTACAAAATGCTTTTACTACTTGAGTAGATGATTATGCAGCTGTACTGTCATGGGTCCCTGTACTGCGTAACACTGCTCAGCTTCTGCAGGTGGTGGCACTGAGGGGTGATCACCTATACCTCACACACCATAGCAACCTGATCTGCAAAAGGTGATGATACATGGTGGAAAACATGGGAATGCAGGCCGCACTTTATCCCTCTTCCCCAAATACCTATACTTAATAATTTATTTTCAAATGATGACACACACAACATTTCTTTTTGGCATAAATTTTGGCCGCAGCACTTTTATTGGTAATTACACATAACATAACTTAACCGCCTCCATCCCCACCATATAGTACAATGACAGGTGCAAGGCGGTTCTCTCGTTCTGGGAGGACGTCATATGACATCCTCCCATTCTAACCGCGCATGCGTGGCTCCGGGAGTGCGCAGCGCGGCGCGCTGTGTCCCTCGGACACAGCGGATCACCTATCAACGGAAAGAGCCAAAGATGTCGCCTCGGTCATGTGACACAGCAGATCACCGGTAAATGCAGTTGCTGGTTATCAACTGCACTTTCCTGTCACAGTGTGGGGAAGGTACTGCCGATAACCAGCAATTGTCAGAGGACTGATCAGCACAGATCATTAGGGCACTGATGATCAGTGCTGAGCAGTACCACCCACCAGTGCCGCCCACCTGTGCCCAGCAGTGCTGCCCACAAGTGCCCAGCAGTGCCACCCACCAGTGCCCAGCAGTGCCACCCACCTGTGCCCATCAATGCCTAGTAGTGCCACCCACCTGTGCCCAGCAGTCCAACCATCAGTGCCGCCCATCAGTGCTGCCCAGCAGTGCCACCAGTCAGTGCCGTCAGCTAGTGCCACCCATCAGTGCCATCTATCAGTGCCCATCAGTGCTGCCTATCAGTGCCCATCCTTGTTGCATATCAGTGCAGCATCATCAATGCCAGCTCATCAGTGCTGCCTATCAGTGCCCATCAGTGCTGCCTATCCTTGCCACCTCATCAGTGCTGCCTATCAGTGCCCATCAGTGCTGCCTATCAGTGCCCATCAGTGCTGCCTATCAGTGCAGCCTCATCAACTCACATCAGTGAAGGAGAAAAATTACCTGTTTGCTAAATTTTATAATAGAAACACCTTTTTTTCGAAATTTTTGCTCTTTTTTTGTTTATAGCACAAAAAATAAAACACCCACCAGCAGCGAGTAAATACCACCAAAAGAAAGCTCTATTTGTGTCAAAAATGGTGAAAAGTGGCCTGGGCACGAAGGGGGTATAAGTGTCCGGTAGGCAAGTGGTTAAGGACAAACCACATAAATAGTGCCCTGCGACAAGGGAGGGAGCGTGGGGAGCTCGTTGGCCAACTCTGACCAACTGCAAAAATCTCTGTCATGGAGTGCCTTTATATAATAAGCCCCCAATATTCCATGGTCACGTTTTTAATCCCTTCCCGCTTTTTTCCTTATTGATTTCTTAAAGGGGCCCTAACCTAACTCCTACCTATTTCTGAGAATTTCTTTTTTTTTTTTTAACTATAGAGGGATGCCACGCTGTCAGCTCATATGTTAGAGCCCTGCCCTCATTTTTCATTCCTGCACATAAGTGCTCACAATCCAATATCTCCATTATCCAGTTTCTCAGTGTCACTAGTGTGTTAAGGTAGCTGTACATCTATGAAGAGAGGATGGTATAGGATACAGGAAAATTAGTTGTTTTTTTAATACAGGTTTCTTTACACATTTGGGGTGAGTAGAACATGGAGGATTGCCATTTTATTTTGCTGATAGAAGTACCAAAAGTCTGTTTTTATATATTGGACTATGTACTGCATTGTGTAACATAGATTGTTCCCTACATGGGTTTTATGATGTTTACTTATTATGGCAGATGTTCTTCATACTCTGTCTTGCAGTGCTGACTCTTAAATTCTCCATTGTGTAGGTAAATATGGACAACGATGTTCTTCCATCCTACTTTAATGCTGCAGATAAGTGGCCAGGGATGATCCATGAGCCACTCGATCAAGGCAACTGTGCTGGTTCCTGGGCTTTCTCCACTGCAGGTATTCATTTTTCTGAACCTTTTTCTCTGTAAAGAGCGGTGACTATTTATCAATGTTTTCAGTCAAGATTACACACCCATTTTTTTTGAAGATTCACGCAGTTTTCAATTAAGATTCCTTTCACACCACCGTTCTGATCAGGTCCATCTGTCTGTTTTTTTTTTGGCGGACCTGATCAGACAGTCCATTCAACCCTATGGACCGCCAAGTATAAATGGACTTGTGTCTGTTTATACCCTCCTACCTCCGATCCAATCTGATCTGCTAAAAGCAAATGGAAGGGAATCCATCTCCCTCTGTGTAGGCGGATCGAATCGGAGGGCAGTCAGGTATAATTGGACAGAGGAGTCTGTTTACATCTAGCCTCCTATACAGCAGAGCGACCTCTGTCTGTGTCAGCTTTGCAGAAACTGGCATGGTCATGGTCATCTGCCCACCCTGCTGTTATCAGCAGACAGATCCCTACTGATCGGAATGGAGTCTGTCCCATGTGGAAGGGGCGTAGGAGTCATTGTAAAAAGTAGGTGAATTTTGGGTGAAAATTGATAAACAGACCACAAAGCATATTATTATACTGAAATTAGATTCCTTTAGTATACTTTACACATTAAACTGAAAAAGTATTGAAAATGTGAACTGTAGTAATTTAAAGTGGTTGTAAAGGCTGAAGGTTTTTTACTTTCATGCATTCTATGCATGAAGGTAAAAAACCTTCACTATGCAGCATCTCCTCCCAGCCCCCTACTTACCTGAGCCCAATCCCGATCCAGTACTGTGCACGAGAGCATCTGTTGCCCCAGCTCTCTGACTCCTCACTGGCCATTGTCTCGTGCTGTTGTCAATCACAGCCAGTGAGGAGGGAGTAGGGGGCAGGGTAAAGCCCCTCTGTCTGTGTCTATGGACGTAGCCAGCGGTGCTTGTGAGCAAGCCCACACGAGTACCCCTGCTAGTAGGCAGGTTGCTAGGGGAGGTACTCAAAGGGGGAGGAGCCAGGCGCTCTAGTGGGGCATCTGAGAAAATGAGGATTAGGGCTGCTCTGTGCACAACCACTGCACAGAGCAGGTAAGTTTTTTCTTTTAAGCCTTTAATATCAATTTAATAACTTATTATGCTTCGTGTACAGTTTTTGATGCACAGAGAAAATGGTATACCCATAATAGAGGTAAATCAGAAGGAAATGAACATTTGAGTCACATTTCTTAAAGTAGAACAGAAAACAAACTTTTTTTTTTTAACCAATTTGGAAAGTGTAAGGAAGGCTTATAACCCCTGTCAGGTTTTATTTTGCTATTTGTATCCCATTGGGGAGATTTCCCTTCACTTCCTGTCCTAATAACAGGAAGTAAGAGAAAGTCCCTCTAAAGGGGGGGGGGGACTCCCTGGTAGTGACCACTCAAAATTTGGGATTGTCTTTCACTTTCAGTGGTAATGGACACAGGACATACAGTATATAGAGGGACACAAGGTGGGACATAGGCAGGTGTCCTATTCTATCTAAGTGCCAGTTCATACTGAAAAGCAGTGCAGGAAACCCGCATGTTGTGCATGATTCCTGCACCATGTTCAAAACGTACTGTGTCTGTGCAAAGGGCGACACCACAAACACAATATTTTAAAAATATTGCATGCACTACTTTTTGTGTGAAGCAGTGCAATTTTATCCCATTCAGATGAGTGGGCTGAAAACACAGTACATTTAAATAACACAGGAATCACACAGGAACGAAAGTGCATTCCTGTGCGATTTTTGCTGTGAACCAGACTTAAAACACAAAAAAAAATGTTACCTTCAGTTATACTTTAACCCTTGTAGCAGCCTGTCTACCAATACCATGACCACACATTGCTAATAAATTTGAAGATTAGACCTGTCATTGTTTTACAACTACTGTATAAGGGAGAGCAGACTATTTTTTTAAAAAGTCAGCCATTGAATTCACTCACTGTAGCCAGTTATGACGTAAATTTCTTTTTTTTTGCAATTTATTTTTAATTTTTTTATTTCAGGTACTTATATAGCACTGTCAATTTAAGCAGTGCTTTATATATATATATATATATATATATATATATATATATATAATTATTATACAGTATTTATAAAGCGCCAATAGTTCACTCAGCGCTGTACATTACAAAGGGGGACAGAACATGTGACAGAACAATACCAATGCAATGCAAAACATGAGGGGATTGAGGGCCCTGCTCTTTCGAGCTTACAATCTAGGAGGGAGGGGATGGTGGTACAGGAGGAGATAGCTGTGGGGGATGGAGTGGTGGGAAGAGTGGAGGAGGTCGGCAAGTTAGCAGGGGGTGGTGTAGGCTTCCCTGAAGAGGTGGGTTTTCAGGGTGCGCCTAAAGGAGAGGAGAGTAGGTGATAATCTGATGGGTTGGGGCAGGGAGTTCCAGAGGATGGGTGACACCCTGGAGAAGTCCTGGAGGCGGGCATGGGAGGAGGAGACCAGGGAACTAGAGAGAAGGAGGTCTTGTGAGGAGCGGAGTGTGCGTGCTGGGCGGTACTTGGATATTAGGTCGGTGATGTAGTTCGGGGCAGTATGGTGGACAGCTTTGTACGTCAGTGTTAGGATTTTGAATTTGATCCGTTGCGAAATCGGAAGCCAGTGGAGGGATTGGCAGAGGGGGGTGGCGGAAACGGAGTGGTTGGAAAGGTGAATGAGTCAAGCAGCCATATTCAGGATCGACTGAAGTGGGGATAGCCAGCGGCGAGGCAGGCCAGTGAGGAGGGAGTTGCAGTAGTCAAGTCGTGATATGATGAGGGAGTGGATGAGCTGTTTAGTGGTTAAATATATATATATTACATTCATATCAGTCCCTAACCCTCAAGTGGCGTACAATCTAAAGTCCCTAACTCACATTCATACATACACATACTAATGTGAAGCAAGCTAACGTATACAAGCTACGAATTAGGTGACCTGATCATTTTTATTATCACCGCAACTTCTATTCATAGCGTTTCGCTCACTGTCAGCACAATTTACCTTAACAATAAGGGAAAAAAAAAGATTTTATTTTATGATAGATGCTGACTTATTTTTTCTTATTTAAGCCTAGTTGGCAAGGATATGCCGAGGAGAAGGAGCTTAGGCAGCCGTGATTTTTGAACCTCCTGCTCATGTGCCTGATTATTATAGGCTGTAGTTCCTTTAATGCAGTAGCAAGCACAATGCAGGCATAAGCATTTATACAGTTTTCAAAGAAAGCTTTTTTTTTTTCATAAATTGTACTGACATGTTATACAGCAAGTTTAGATACAATTAGTGCTTAGCAGAGTATTTATTTAATTATGTTGCCTTGATTTACAGTAGAGAAGATTTCTATGCCTGCTCTACTCAACAAGAAATCTTATACAAAAATGCACAGTCTATGCAAATGTTGCAAACATTTTGTGTAAAATTAGATCAAATGTTGCACACACTTGACTTTCATAGTTTAGCATTTCCTATAGTTCTATGCTAAATATTAACTATGTAGTTCTTAAGAGTAAAAGGAGGAAGGGAAATTGTGACATCTTCAGGCAATCTTGAGTTAGTACAAGCATATCGATTAAATTACAAGGATATTCCAAGAAAATACTGTACTGTACATGCTTTTGGTATTGTGTATCTTGATCACAAGTTTTACTATCAATAATACAATAATAAGTGGCATTTTCAAAGTCGTTTGGTATAGAAAGCTATTAAGAGCTCATTGCGGTCATGTCTTTCTTTCATCAGCTGTTGCCTCCGATAGACTTTCCATTCAGTCGATGGGGCACATGACTCCTGCTCTGTCCCCTCAAAATCTCATTTCCTGTGACACCAAAAACCAGCATGGATGCAGAGGGGGCCGTGTGGATGGAGCATGGTGGTATCTCAGAAGAAGAGGGTATGTGATTTGCATTTGTTTTTATCATTTTCTTTCAAGGTTTGTTCTAAATGAGACATAATAAGCCCAATTATTTAGTTTTGAAAAGTGAAAATTTGATTTTATAAACTTTTTATATATGGTTCTAGCTGTAATAACTGTATCTAGATAAAATTAGTTTCAAAAGTAGATAGAGCTGTAAAGTAAGCAGATTAAAAAGACACATTTACTGCAGCTTTAAAACTTTTAAAACATTATTAAATATACTTTTTTAATACAAGCTGTGTAAGTACCTGAATTTGACCTGATTTCAGCATCTTGCAGTCTCTGTACAGCAGGGCTGGAGTGTAAGAGAAGAAGCAGTACAAGGATCCAAATGTGCTGTTCATGTGCTGACAAGAAGCATGCGAATAGGAAGAGAAAGTGGAGTGACAGAGAGATGAGCTCAGTACTGTGCTGCTTTTACTTTTACTGTCCAGTCACATTCAATATGTTGAATGATGCTGGCCATTTGACTGAGAACATTTTGAGCCAAAGTACTGCAGGGGAGCTCTCTGGATTGAATGGGAAAAGCTGGTTTTGCTATTTTAGCTTTTAATGGGCAATTCATTGTTATATTTTATAATTTTGGCTCTTGTCAAAATATGTTACATACCATTCTTTGCATTCACTTGGCTTTTACCACTGTGGGCATCTGTACAGATGTAAATTTTTTACGCCTTTTAATCTAATACTAGTGCCATGCTACCTTTTGGTGAACTGGCGAGCACCAGCAGCCTAGTATATCCTGGTCTTTCCCATACCTCTTAGATTGTAAGCTCCAAGGAGCAGGGCCCTCCAAACCCTCTTGTATTGAACTGTATTGTTCCTGTATTGTTTCCCGTTATATTGTAAAGCGCTGAGCAAAACTGTTGGCGCTATATAAATCCTGTATAATAATAAAAATAATATGCTAAATAATATTTACTCTTTGAGCCACACTTCCTGTATTATTTGATCCTATTCTCATTAACATTTTACATGTCTTTTGAGTATTCTATCTGCTTTTTTTAAATAAATGGTATTTCTCATTCTTCAGGGTTGTAACAGAGGATTGCTACCCATTTGCTGGTCAAAATACAAATGGACAACCCGCATCATGTATGATGCACAGCCGCTCAATGGGAAGAGGGAAGAGACAGGCCACTGCTCACTGCCCAAACCCATATGCATCATCAAATGAGATCTACCAGTCTACACCCGCCTACCGCCTGGCATCCAATGTAAGTCTTTCTGCATAACTGCTCAGTTTCTAGAAGCATCATAGTACCAGATCCAACAAAACATTTTTTACAAAGTGACAAAGGAAAATATCTACATACAAACAAGTTTCAGCATTCTTTTTAGTTTCCAGAAATATTGATTAAAAAATGTTTGTTGTATACAATAATGGGTTAAAAGGAACTTATGGAAGAATCAAAACCCTTAAAGCTGAATTCCAGGTATAACTTTTCTTGCATAGTTAAATTAGTTCAAGCATATCCCATTGATTGCCTATCCCTGTGAGTAGCTGCCGATACTACAGTGATCCCCACTGTATTTGGGTCCCTTGCCGAATGACTGCTCTGCATAGTTACCACAGGGGCTCCTTCTTTCGGCATGGGCACCATTGAGAGAACTCTTTGCATTTTCTTAATAAATACAAGGCATTCTTTGTTTGGACGAGGTGGAGAGGTGGGGCAGTGATGTTGCAATATCCACCTAGTCCAATCAGAGAACATCTTATATTTACTGAGAAAAGAAGAAGGCGGTCTCTGAATGGCGTCCATGCCGAGCGGGCGACCCCCTGTGGCTGCTATGCAGCGGCTTGGCACGAGATCTGGAAAACAGTGAGGATTACTGTAGTAGCAGTGGCTGCTGCAATGATGCTCTACTTCCATAGAGATTAAACATGGAACATGCATATTTACAGACTAAAAAACTGAAATGTAACTTTGCAAAATAAACCATACAATAGCCACTCTAGGGAGCAGTGGCTATCTAAGGATGTGAGCAGATATTTGGGTAAAATTATTTTGGGGATACATTTTCAAAAGCAGCCAGCCCAAGTGAAAATGAGAGGTAAAGGAAATACTATATTACTGTACTTCCAAAATCAGGAAAAAATACAGACTAAGTAGTTTAAAAAGCTGATATTGAATTATTATATATTATAGTAAATGAGGAAAACCTACCAACAGAAAAAAACATGAAGGCACCATATCTGACCTCCTGAGAATGTTATATATTTGTTTATTAGGCTGCGCCCCTTGCTTCAATAACTTGAGTCACTAACCTAGAATAAGTATGCAGATAAGAAATATCTGCATATGTGTCTCAGGGGAGTGACTCAGAAGAGCCTTTTTATTTCTATCATGACAGATTTAACTAAATAAAGGGATATTTTATGATAGTTGTTTTCATAAAGCAGTGGTGTTTTTAAGTCCATGTACTTTTGAAAATAGTCACACAAGCCTTTGACCTTGCAACTGGCTATTGGGGAGCCATCTTATTTGGGGGTCATTAGGAAGGTGTGGTGGATGAGAGGAAGCAAACTATAAAGAATCTGTTTGTTTTCCATAAATGATGACTTTTGCCCCACTGATGTCCATTTTATAAGGTACATTATTTTGCCTGCAGGAGAAAGAAATAATGAAAGAAATATATGAGAATGGTCCAGTACAAGGTAAGTAGTACAGATGAACTGCGCTACTAAATTAACCAGCAGAGCATTGAACATATTAACATTCTCTCACCTATTATTTGACTCTAGGTTTTCAGTCCTTTCTTCTTGCTCAGCTCCTCCATAGTAAATTTGCACTGTTGCAATATACATGTACAAACATGCAAGTCTCTGTAGATAAAATTAACCAAGCCATGTTATGCACACAGGTAGACAGCAGTGCCTCTTATTCTCTCATCATCTGCACTGTCAGTAAAATTAATGTTCCAAATGTTCTCCTTTATAGCCATAATGGAGGTGCATGAAGATTTCTTTGTGTACAAAAGTGGAATCTATAGACACACACCTGTAATGGCAGGAGAACCAGAGCTGTACCGTAGTCATGGGACGCATTCTGTAAAGATCACTGGGTGAGTAAGGGATTAGACTGGCTAATGCTGGATGTTTATTACATATGGAAATAAATAAGTGGTTATTAGCATACTGTCATAAACATACATATGTATGGTAAAATACTCTTTATTAACTGTATTGTGTATGCTACTGATGCTATAATAACGTGTGAGTTTCCACAGAAATAAGGTAACCTGGACGAATTTTCAGTGTACCAGTGTGAAGGATTCTGAGCTCTTGTATTTGATTTTTTGTAAGGCCAAATGAGTTTCAACAAATGTATGTTAAACATTGATGATTCTGACAATGTTAGTAACTTTTCTGATTAAATTAATTTCCTTTTTTCAAGCACTTGCTGCTTAAAACGAGTCATACTGGGGACCCCTCAATATTGTTAGATCAAGGTGTTTGTTCTCTATAAACAATTAAATGGCACTTTAAAGTGGTTAAACCAAACCTAATTATCTTTCAGCGCAGCCACTACGTGATTACCGCTTACACCACCAAAAATCATCAAACATATAAATATAAGATTGCATTTGAATCAATAGTTAAACATAAGGTTGCTGTGTGCACCATAAAGTGGTTTCACTCCACCCCTCAGTAAATAATGCAGCAAAAGATGCCGTGCAACCCACAAACCTTCACTATAAAATGATAATAAAGTCCTAAACATAAAGTCCATAGTAGTAAGATCTTCCTCTAAATTATCCACGTATCCCAATGTCTCCATGCACCAATATCTTCTATAACTGATCACCAGCGCTACTCATGTCTACACCTCCCCATGAACAATATATGCTTACCTCCAGACTAGACCCTGATGGCTAGTCAAAGGTCACATGCACTTGTACCCCTTTCATGGGCTGCAAACAAGATGGCTCCATATTCACTCCACCACAGATGGCTCCCACTGTTCCATGGATCCTCTATTCACATAAGGAGCCTTATTTCATTCATGAAAGAAGAATAGGGACTGATAGTGCTCTCCATACAGTAAAAATATTTTATTCAATATTTAAAATGACAAAAACAAGTCACTGTACACACAGTACAATGTACAGGGCATATCAAAAACAGGTAGCTCTTTGTCTCACCACTTCCATTGCCAACATCAAGATGGCTGCCAACTGACCCCACTCCACCCCTATACACGTTACACCCAATCAACAGGCTTTCTCAGTAGGGCATCAGGCGCCTGTACAGCATCCTTGTTTTCCCTTGTTTGTCAGCACTGGGGTCACATTAGCTGAGTGAGGGAGAGAAACTGATGTACAAGAGAAAATCCTGGAATACTAGTCAGTAACAGTGTGCATAGGTGTATATGGTTTGGAAGAATAAATCACCACTAATGTTGGATGTCCTACGTGTGTCCTACTGCGTGGACATTGACAGCTCAGCATTATTTTTTTTTTATTTATTTCAGGTACTTTTATAGTGCCGTCAATTTGCGCAGTGCTTTACATATATATTGTACATTTATACCAGTCCTTAACCCTCAAGGGGCGTACAATCTAAGGTCCCTAACTTACATTCATACATACGCACACTAGGGCCAATTTAGACAGGAACCAATTAACCTTCAAGCATGTCTTAGGATTGTGGGAGGAAACCGGAGTACCCGGAGTAAACCCACACAGGCACAGGGAGAACATGCAAACTCCAGGCAGGTGGGATTCAAACCAACAACCCTAGTACTGCCAGGCAGAAGTGCTAACCATTTACCATTGTGCTGCCCCATTACTGGATTTAAGTACAGTGGAAAAGGGGAAGGTGTACGGTATTGGTTCACATTTTCATTGTATTTGTCAGATTGCTTTAACTAACATTATATGCAGATCAAAGCTTGACCATTTGATCTTCAGGTAAATGAAATATAGTAAATGTAAAAATAACAATGTTACTTTGTATCCCTCTATCTTAGTAAACAGCATTTATAAACACTGTGTCAGACATCCATTTTTTTGACTCCAGCAGCTTCTATGACTGCTGTATTTACACAGCAATTCCCAACTAACATTTTGAGAGCTAGGAACTGTCTCCAAATACACGTGGGTTAGTGGCAGCAGGGCAGAAGGACAGAGTTTATTACATACACCCTGTGTACTTTGGTGAAGCTATTGTGGGCATGTGTAGCAGGCCCAAGGTCCACAAATGGTTAAAATAAACCTAACATAAAATTTTATTTTATTTATTTATTTATTCATTTATGCGCTATATATAAAATGCACGTCAGGAAAAAAAAACATGCATTGTGGAATAAATATACACAACTGGCAGAAACTTCCAAGCTTCCAACACACAAATATAAATATCTTCCTTTGCTGATTTTCTTATTAGTTTTTACTAAAAAAAAAAATTGTGCTCATTAGTTGTCCCACTTCTTTGCCAGATGCATGCACATACACAAATAGGTCCCAATCTTGTCACTTAACATGAAGTGACATTTATTACTATAATAGGCAAGAAAAGTTCATAGAAGGATACAAGCATAATGTTACTGTCCCTGAAATCTGCGGAAGGGAGAGGCAGGAAGCATCAGAGTAATCTCACGGGGGCCAAAAGGACATGCGGAGCCTTGAACTGAACATTATGTCTACCCCAAGGAGACTATATAACATCCTGTACTGCCCTTTCTATGTTGGGCCAAGCTAATGTCAAGGGAGTGATGTCTGGCTGGGAATAGTAGGCACTGAAATAGAACAGGTATAGAAATACAGAATAATATCAGGAATGTGACAATGCATGCAATAAACAAGGTAAAATGAAAACTGCAAAAGCATGCATGGTTTTATTGTACTAAAAGAGTTAATAAGGAAGGTATAGGAGCTAGATTACTATACATTGTGTAAAAAGATCTTGCTCTTTTCTAGCATGAGTCTCAGCAAATTCCACACTTGCTGATTGCTTAGGAATGTTCTCTAATGTTACCTCTGTCCCAGATATTGGTCTGACCTCAAGCTGTGTCTGTCCCTATAGTAACACAGTACCCAGGCATGGTACTGTCCAAGTATCTGCATACAGAGGGACATATTATTTTAATTTATTTATTACAGGTACTTATGTAGCGCCGTCAATTTACGTAGCACTTTACATATATATTTGTACATTCACATCAGTCCCTAACCCTCAAGGGGTGTACAATCTAAGATCCCTAACTGACATTCATACATACACATACTAGGGCCAATTGAGACAGGATCCAGTTAACCTACCAGCATGTCTTTGGCATGTAAGAGGAAACCGGAGTACCCGGAGGAAACCCATGCAGGCACAGGGAGAACATGCAAACTCCAGGCAGGTGGTGCCATAGTTGGGATTCAAACCAACGACTCTAGTACTGCCAGGTGGAAGGGCTAACCATTTAGCCACTGTGCTACATTTATAATTAACCACCTCCCGTCCAACCGTTGTTTATAAACTGCTGGACAGTAGCAGTGCAAGGGCGGGTGGCCGTTTATAAACAGCCTCCCCGCTCCCTGCTTGTGCGCGCGCTCCCTGGGAGCATGCAGCACCGCGATCCAGTGCCCGCTGTGTCCTCCGGACACAGTGGAACACCGATCGTCGTACGGGACCTCTGTGCAAGGTCCCGATCATGTGATCACTGATTGGCCAATCAGTTATCACATGCAGAGTAGTAAGCAAGATGTCAATTCTGACATCATTGCTTACTACCAGGGGTGGACTGACAACTCATGGGGTTCCCAGGCAATAGGGGATCATGGGGCCCCTGTGTCCTTGCCCAAACTCAAAAAAAGCCTATGAAAAAGGTACCAGGGGCATCTCATGGGGCCCCCTACTGACCCCGGGCCCTCGGGCAGTGGCAGAGTTTCCAAATGGTCAGTCCGCCCCTGCTTACTATGTGTGAAATCTGTGACTGATCACAGAGGCCACATTAGCGTGTAAGAGGAAACCGGAGTACCCGGAGGAAGCCCATGTAGGCACAGGGAGAACATGCAAAGTTGGGATTCAAACCAATGACCCTAGTACTGCCAGGTGGAAGGGCTAACCATTTAGCCACTGTGCTACATTTATAATTAACCACCTCCCGTCCAACCGTTGTTTATAAACGGCCGGCCGGTGGCAGTGCAAGGGCGGGTGGCCGTTTATAAACAGCCTCCCCGCTCCCTGCTTGTGCGCGCTCCCTGGGAGCATGCAGCACCGCGATCCAGTGCCCGCTGTGTCCTCTGGACACAGTGGAACACCGATCGTCGTACGGGACCTCTGTGCGAGGTCCCGATCATGTGATCATTGATTGGCCAATCAGTGATCACATGCAGAGTAGTAAGCAAGATGTCAATTCTGATATCATTGCTTACTACCAGGGGTGGACTGACAACTCATGGGGTCCCCGGGCAATAGGGGATCATGGGGCCCGTGTCCTTGCCCAAACTCAAAAAAAGCCTATGAAAAAGGTACCAGGGGCATCTCATGGTGCCCCCTACTGACCCTGGGCCCTCGGGCAGTGCCAGAGTTTCCAAATGGTCAGTCCCACCCCTGCTTACTATGTGTGAAATCTGTGACTGATCACAGAGGCCACATGGTACAAGGCCATTCACAACAGCCTTGTACCATTTGACAATCTGTGACCAATCACAGCTCACACAGTATTTCTCAATGGCTGCAAGAATGCAGCCAGAGAGAGGGATTGCTTTAAAGCCTTTATGGGTGTAAAAGCAATCAGTGTAAAAAAAAAAAAAAAAAAAAAAATCTTCATCACCCCCCACAAGTAGTGGTGACACTGTACTGCTAGAGTGACAGTATGTAAAAAAAAAATAATAATAATATAAAATTAAAAAAACATTTTAAATGATAATTTTTGGTTATAAACTAATTTGGGTTTTTTTTTTTTTTTTTTTTTTACTAAAAAGATAACTGAATACATTTTAGCCAAGATTTATGAAGAAAGATTATTTATTTGCAAAATTTTATAAGAAAAACACTTTTTTTCAAAATTTTTGGACTTTTTCATTTATATACCAAAAAAAATAAAAATCCCAGCAGTGAAAATAAATACCACCAAAATAAAGCTTTATCTGTCTCAAAAAAACGTTAAAAAATTCATATGGGTACAGTCTTGCATGACCGCGCAATTGTCATTCAAAGTGTGATAGCGCTGAGAGCTGAAAATTGGCCTGGGCAGGAAGGGGGTAAAAGTGTCTGGACTGGAAGTGGTTAACCATAACCATCAAATATTCAGTCTGCTATCAGACAGAATTTTCTAAATCTTTTTAGTGAAAATAGAGACCTCCATAAAGAAGGGGTGTTTCACCAGGTGGGTACTCTTGCTCATATACAACTCATTTATGGTTAGAACAGGCCACAAGTAGGTGCACATTACACCTACCCTCATACTTACTATATATACATACATAGTTATAAAAAAAATACATATAAACAATGCATCAGTACAAGAAGTTTGGGCAGATTTGCTCTTTTACCTGCCAAAGGGTTTGTATTTCTATACTTCCATCCCTGAGATTTACACAAGACAACCCTGTTTTTTTACTGCTGCAGTTGAAGAACATTTCCGAGCTATGTTCTTCCCCCAACCTGTGACTGGGCAGTGAAAGAAGAAGCAGCAGACAGATGAGTTATTCATCTGTCACTGTGCTCTCTCCTGCTATCAGCATGCCCCTTGTTAGCACATGAGCACAGCAACTCAGCTGATTGACTCCCTGTGCTCCCTTTTCCCCTCTTCTGTACAGTGGATTGCAAAAGGCAATACCAAGTCAAACTTAAGTACTTACAAAACTTGCGTTAAAAATAAGTTTGATGACATTTTAATAAATACAGAGATGCATAAATATATGTATTTTATATCTGCCAGTTCAGCTTTAAAGGAGAACCAAGAAAAAGGAGTGAAGTTAGTGATAAATGAGCTTTGTATAAATTATTCATTACTACTCAAAGCTACAGTATAATTCTGCAAAATATGCAGTAAAAATCTATATTGTAAAGTGCTGATTATATTGTAAAGTGCTGAGCAAACTGTTGGCGCTATATAAATCCTGTATTATAATAATAATAATAATAATAATAAAAAGTATATTGCTTGGAATATTTATTCTTTAGTATTAACTTTTGTCTTTTTTTTTTTTTCTTATACCAGGTGGGGAGAAGAGTTGGCACCCAACGGACAGTTTCAAAAATATTGGGTAATGATAACTTTATTTAATTTCCCTATGTTCAGGAAAGACATAATGTTTAGGCATGGTATAATAAATATTTGTGCTACAGTTTTATACATATTAAGGAATCCTTTTCTCAGTGAAATGTGTAGGCTGCCATTGCTGATGCCTCACTTTAAAAATCATAGCTGCTTGTCTGTCATGCTGACCCTTAACACATAGATCCAGAGCAATTCTGCAGGTGAGGAGTTCTTATTTACCCTGGTTTTCCATACCTGCATGCTTGTTTCAGATCAGTGACTCAGATGCTATTGACCCCCTTCTGAAAAAAAAATGCTAGTTGCCTGGATGTCTTGGGTATTAACATTTCCAGAACAGGAATGCAGATCAGGAAGACCACATTGAAGTCAAAGCTCCTAATCTGCATACATGTCCCAGCTCAGTTACTAAGAAAGTATCGACAGTATTATTATTATTTTAATTATTATTATACGGGATATAAAGTGACTACAGTTTGCTCAGCTCTTTACAATATAAAGGGAAACAATACAGCAACAATGCAATTCAGTACAAGAGGGTTAGGAGGGCCCTGTTCCTGGGAGCTTACAGTCTAATAGGGAGGGGCTACTGGAACAAAAAAAAAAAATACCGGTAGGGGATGAACTGATGGGAAAAATAAAAGATTTACTTGCTAGCTGAAGACAGGATAGGCCTCCCTGAAAAGATGAGTTTTTAGGGATCGCCAAAAAGTGGATGGAGTAGTAAGAGATAGCTGGACAGATTGGGGTAGGGAGTTCCAGAGGATGGGAGAGGTTCTGGAGAAGTCCTGAAGATGAGCATGGAAGGAGGAGACAAGGGAGCTAAAGAGCAGGAGGTCTAGGGAGGAGCGGAGAGGACGGTTTGGGTAATATTGGAGACAACATTGGTGATGTAGCTTGGGGGAGAGCTGTGAATGGCTTTGTATGTGGTTGCTAATATTCTGAATTCTATTTTTTGGGCTATCGGAAGCCAGTAGAGGGATTGGCTGAGAAGGGTAGCGGACACTGAGCAGTTCGTAAGGTTGATGAGTCTGGCAGCAGCATTAATGAGAGACTGAAGAAGAGATAGCCTGCCTAGAGGTAGGCCTATGAGGAGGGAGTTACAATAGTCAAGGAGAGATATAACAAGGGAGTGAATGAGTAACTTAGTGGTTTCAATGGTTAAAAAGTGGTGTATTCTGGAGATGTTACAGAGGTAAAGTCTACAAAATGTGGACAGTGATTGGATTGCTCTCAGTTGGAGTCACGAGTTGCCATAAAGCAATGGTAGTGAATGCAGAAAAATCTCACGAATGTGAAAAGTACTTATTCCTGATGGTGTGGCTCCAGAGCTAGTTGTATGGTTAACTCTTGGCTCAGAATGGTGGATTTAAATGGTCAGCAGCCTTGTTGACAATCAGTGCAGGTTGAAGATCAGGGATGGAGAGATGAGGAGTTGGATGGATTGAAGGCTCAAAAATATTTTGCAGCTAGGCACATCAGATCTGGGAAGGATCCTCGGTAACATGTAGAAGACAACAAGGTAGCCAAAGTGCAGGAATTAATAAAAACAATGTATCATTTATTAGAAAAACAAATATCCACACATAGGCTCCATGCACACTAGGCGTTTTAATAATGCTGGTAATGTTAACTGTGTAAAGTCACATTAAAAACGTGAGTATTTCAGCGTTGTGCATTAGTGTGTAGCTGTGTTTTTTCACGTTTGTGGGTTTTTTTACTCCCCACATTTTGTTTTGCTCAAAAGAAGTCTGAAAACACCAGTTTGCCGTGATTTACTGCGTTTTGTCGCATTAGAACATTTTTACAGCTAAAAAACTCTTCTAGAAACCCACTAGTTCTGGGGTTTTTTTCCAGCCAGTAAATGCCCCTGCCAAAAAACACTGATTACAGTCTATGTGTGCATGGACACATAGGATAACATGCAGGAGAGTTTGCTGGCTGTAGAAAAAAACATCAAAAGCCAAAAACAGCCGCTGTAAAAATATCCAGTGTACATGAGGACTTACATTCAAGTAAGTGAGGTGCTGCTTGGACATGGAGGGGAAAGACAGTGTTGTTCTTGCTACAGGGTCCAGGATTACACCTAGCACCATGGTATGAGGGGAGAAACTGATAGTTTTATTATTAATCTTGATGGAGAAGTCAGGGGAGGGGGCACGGGCAGGAAGAAATATTATGATCTCAGTTTTAGAATGATTGAGTTTGAGGAAGTGGTGTGACATCTACACTGATATATCAACATGACAGTCAAGAAAATAACATTTTATTTTTTAGAAGGAGAGGTTAGTAATGGTAACCGCCATACTGGGAAGTGACTGTTTTCTTTAAATGGAAATATTTTACAAAATAATTTGTGGCAAAAATAATGATTATACCTACTAAGCTATATGTTGAGTACCACTAAAATATTAAATAGAAAAAAAAGATCTTGATGTTTTTCATTTGGATTTCCCAGCTGTATAAACAATCAAATTATAATTCTTAATTTTTACAGTTACTTGTTTATATAGATTGTAAAAACTGGAATTATACTTTGACATTATATTTAGCTGCCATAATTCACATTAAAAACATAACCAATTTTTGGTATTCGGGAACTTGAGTCACTTTCAGCTTTTTTTTTTTCTTTCCCACTAATGCATATGTACCTTAGTGGTTGTGTGATAATTACAACCTACAGCATATTACTATGCTAATCATATGAAGTGTGTGTTTCTGATTTGTTCTCATCTTCTCCTTACTGTAGCTGGCTGCCAATTCATGGGGCAAAGACTGGGGAGAGAGAGGATATTTCCGCATTGCCCGCGGCGAAAACGAGTGTGAAATTGAAACCTTTGTAGTGTGGTGTGGGGCAGAGTCAGCATGGAGGATGTCGCTCGTAGAAAATGAGGAATTTTCCAGGCTGTAGGACTTTGTGGATTTCTAATAAGCAAACATTGGTTTGTACCTTGCTCTTTACCTCCAGATATTTTCACAGCCAGTGAGCTGGATCATAAGGTCCTAGGTGGGTAGGCATGTGTGTTCTAAAGTGGGGAACTGAGTCTGTACTAAAATTAAGAATGAGGTAAGTGTATCTGGCTGTTTAATAATAGGACTTCTTTTGACCCGCAACAAATATCTGCAACCCACTGAAGAGAGACATTTATGGCCAGTGTTCACTATGTAAAGGCAATGATATTTTGAACATCTCCTAATGTTTTAAGTTTTGAAAGGGTTAGGTAAATCACTGGCATATACCGAACTTGTCTGAAGTTTTCAAAGTGTAAAATGTCAGCACCACAATCTATGTACTTTGAATTTCTACTGTTTCATGGGCACTATGTACATTTCAAATGTGTTATCCATATGCTGGATTCTTCTAAAGCTACAAACTCATTTTATAAATGTTCTATAAATCAACAAAACTAGTACCACAACTCAGGACCGGGGGGTGGGTTGGGGGGGGGGGGGGGGGGGGGGGCAGGATGCAGTGAGGAACCTAATGTAATTAAGCTGACCCAGTGGTGCTGACACAGGGAAGATTCGCAGCCTGTGGCTTTGGAAGGGATAATAGATAGTCCTATAATCTCCCTAGGGATCAAAAGGGTTTTGTTTGGGGCTGTATGCAAGGGGCACACAGGCTTGTGAACCTGTCACAGACAGACATTCCCCGCCAAGCTACAAACTGCCAGAGGAGTGGTAGGCTTCCACCTAGGACCAAAATGAACTTATCTACATATATATATATATATTATGAGAGCTTAAAATGAAGGCCAATGACCTTTTTATAAAACATATGTAAAACATCCACTGGTATCTGAAGCTTGCTCATTTTAAAACATCATCTATCCCACGCACAGCTAAATTTCTTCAATCCATTAGCCTTAAACATCTTTGCGGGTACTGCATTTGCTAAAGACATTTACCTTAAAAAAAGCCTTTATTAAAGCCCAAACTCAAATGCAGAAAATGTGAATTATGTTTAGCTATTTATTGAAACTTTTTTTTTATTGAGATTATGTATATTGTTTAAAGCCCTAATCCTTGTGCACAATAATTTGGATTCCAACCACTGTTACATTTACGACATTCCAGTTTGAATAAAAGTATTTTTCACCAAGCTTGGATAAATGTTTATTCTATTTTTATTTACCTATTATTAAGTTTAAGGTTCAACTTGAAAGTGGTTCTAAAGGCAAAAAGTTTTTTTTACCTTAACGCATTTTCTGCATTAAGGTGGAATAACTTTTTACGTAATCTAAGGGCGCTCTAGTCCGGTCACATGATCGGTTACCAGTGGCGGCTTCAAGGGAGAGGAAGGACCGTGGCAATGGATGCCCCATAGTAAGCCTATTGGTGATGCCATCGCCCAGGCACTGCAGCCTATGTCAGCGATCTCTTCATTCCCCTGATGCCAGCTGTTGAAGCAATCATGTGACCGGACCACAGCGCCCTTAGAATTTTTAAACAATTAAGGGTCTATTCACAGTTAGCCATTTCTCAGTATCTCGCTTTATAGCATATGCATCTAACTTGCTACACTTACCTAAAAAAACTACTACAATTGATTTTCAATATTCATAGTTTGTAATGGAAAAGCATTTTGGCGAGATACTTTCGCAGTGTCAAGATTTGCTAAACGCTGTTGGTCACCTGTTGTATGTCTGTAGAACACAGATGTCTTAATAGTTTCGAAAGAATGAATGTGAAAATTCACGTTTGTTGAACATTTGCAAGATGGGGCTTAGATGGGATAAAGTAACAACTACTACTACTAGCCTGTGTGACTCTGGTTTACAAACTGGACAAAGCTAAAGTAAAACTCCAACTTTTTATCAATAGTATAAATTCACAGGCCCATAGTATTAAGAAAAAAAAACGTTCACTGCAATGCTCACCTTCAACTGAGCACTATCCCCTGCAGACTGTCCTTTCCAAAGGAACCAGCGTCATTTAACCCACTTTCCCAAAGCTCAGGCGGTCATGGACACACTCCCTGTTGGTACATCATCACCATTGGCTTGGGCACAGACTACTAGTGAGCTGAAGAGGTCAATAGGAAGAAGGGTCAGCCGCACACCGGAAGATAGATGAATATAGTGTATATTTATTGATCCATAGGATCATACCCTATGATTAAGCACAATATTGTGTGAAACACTTTAACAGGTCCTGTATTCATGTCCTGGTGTTTTGTGTGTCCTATGGATCAATAAATATACACTATATTCATCTATCCTCCGGTGTGTGGCTGACCCTTCTTCCTATGCCATTGTGTGTGGTGGCAAGCCAGAGCCTGCACCTGTTGTGGATTGATCTGGATTGTTTGCCTGAGCGGTATACCTTTGTTCTTTGGATTGAGCTAAAGAGGTCACACATCATTGTGTGAGTGGTGGTCAGTGCAAAAATAAGGACCATCCCTACCACCACCAGACCACTGTCGCCACAAATGATGATGACAATGGATTAGGACAAGGATCCACTGGGAAAAAGATACCTACAATAGACTGTAACAATTGACAATAGACTGTAACAGGGTCAGTTGTTTGTTTGTTGTGGTGATAATAGGGGTATCCAGTAGAGGAAGTCTAGTAGATCTTTAAATAAAGGAAGAAACTATTCTGCAGTTATTCACCATAAAATTTGATCTGACCCTCATCTAAGTCACAACAATAGACATACACAATTGGGTAGATTTACTAAAAGTGGTGCACTCAGTGGTGCAGCTGTGCATGGTAGTCAATCAGCTTCTAACTTTGGCTTGTTCAATTAATGGGGAACTACACTGCATCTGAGCACCACAAACCAAAAACGCTTTAAATCATTTTTTAATATTTAACGCAAACTCACCCATCCATCCATGCTTTTTTTTTTTTTTGCTGAGAAAGCACTTTGAAAAACACCTCCTAGCATTTCTGGCCATGGGCATCTTGAGTAAGGGAAGATGATTCATGTAGCATTTACTTCCTAAAATCCATCTGCCCTTAACTCCTGTGCAGACAGGAGGTTTTGGAGGGATATAACCCTATAATTTTTTTTTTATTGCCATCTGTGTTCCATTGGGAAAATTTACCTTCACTTTATGTCCCATAGCCAAAACAGGAAATGCGAGCAAATAAAGGGAATCCCTTGGGACCCCCAGGTCACCAGAACTAGTGTCCCCATTTAAATATTTCCTCTCTATTATTTTTCTGGGAGCAACCCAAAATTGTTCTCTGAGGATTGCAGTGATCTATCGGCCTCCTGGACCAGTGTCCCGCTTTCTTGATGATTTCTCCACCTGGCTACCCTACTTTCTCTCCTCTAAAATACCCACTATCATTCTTGGAGATTTTAACATCCCCATTAATGTCAACAACCCAGCTACATCCCAACTCTTCAACATAACCTCATCTTTTGCATTAGCACAATGTATACAGTCCTCCACTCACTCTGATGGGAATACATTACACCTTGTTTTCTCCCATCTTTGCACTCCCTACAACCTCACAAACACCCCCTTTCCTCTCTCTGATCACAATCTCATCACCTTCACAGTGTCCTCATCTTCAAACACCTATCCCTCCAAGCAGCAAACAATTACCCGTAGAAACCTTCACAACTTGAACCCTGTTCCTTTCCTACTCTGCAACTGACCAACTCTATGACAGAATCTCTCCCCTGTCCTGCCCTGACCTGGCCACTACTGTCTACAACAGTTCGCTTTCATCCACATTAGACTCACTTGCTCCTCTAACAACACGAAGCATCAGGCCCCAACCATTACAACCGTGGCAGACTGACGACACCAGAAATCTTAAGCGACATAGTCGTGCGCTGGAGCGATTGTGGCATAAACCCAAATCTCACCAAGCATTCACCTTATATAAATCTCCTTCTTAAAACACAATTCCTCCCTCCATGCTGCTAAACAAGCCTATTTTGTCACTCTCATCAATAGCTTGTCATCCAGTCCTCGTCATCTCTTCTCTACTTTTAACTCTCTACTTTCTACACCTCCACCCAGTACCTCACTCACTGCTCACGAGATTGCAAATAATTTCAAAAACAAGATTGATGCAATTCGTAGGGGCATCGCCACTGCACAGACATCCGTAGAAACCTCCCTCAACACTTTCCTCTTTTGACCTTGCTACTACCGAAGAGGTCACTAAAGTTTTCTCAGAAGCCTGTCTCACTACCTGCCCCCTGGATCCTGTCCCCTCACAACTACTGCAATCACCCTCTTCTTCCATCCTATGCTCCCTCATTCACATCTTCAATCTCTCCCTCTCTAATGGTGCCTTCCCCTCCCCTCTAAAGCATGCACACATCACTCCCATACTGAAAAGCCCTCCCTGGATCCCACCAACCTGAACAACTTAAGACCCATCTCCCTGCTGCCATTTACCTCTAAACTCTTAGAACGCTTAGTCTACAATCGTAAAAATAGGTAAAAGTGGGCGCTATTTCTAGTAAGCTGCTGTGCACTCAAGGTAACCAATAGAAATCCTTATTCAAATTAAAAATAAATAGTGCAGCGCTAATAAAGGTAATTCAAATGTCTAAATAAATGATAAATGTTAAAAAATGGACAATAAGATAAGAAGCAGGTTGAATATAAAATGTTATGCCAAATAGGTACAAATGATCACATATGAGATAGCTAATATGTTTTCAAAGATATAAATTGGTATGAATTATAGATCTGCAAATATCCGCAGAAGTGACTATAGTAATGGAGAAAAAAAGTCCCACAACTTCAAACCGGTGCTTGTATCTTGTGTTAATATGAGAAATGCGCACTCACCGGACGTATACTATTAATGTGCATTGTATAATATATCCTGGTGTCAATAGGTGGTCATCTGGGCCAAGAGTTGGAACAGGCTCCCTCTCGGGATGGTAAGAGTCCAGGAACTTTAGTGC